TGTCCTGAAGGCTACGAAGGAAAGATGTGTGAAAGGCTCAAAGAGGATTGCCAAACCACTCCATGTCTAGGTGGCTAAAGGAATCTGCAGGGGGGAAAGAGGCTGGACTAGATCGATAATATAAGAAAACACTAAACCTGAAACTTGTTTTTTTTTTTTTTTGGGTTTATTCTTGACAGCTATTGACAGCTGCAGCATTGCTGTTGCAACCAATGACTCGGATGGCATACAGAACATACCCTCCAATGTCTGTGGTGCACGAGGACGCTGCATCAGCCAGCCTGCCGGAAACTTCACCTGCGTCTGTGATCCGGGTTTCAGTGGCATCTACTGTCACGAGAGTACGTAGAGACTTGAGCTTTCAGATTCTGGAGGTGCTGTGTGGTCTGTAATTCATTTTTGGGGTGTTTTTCTTTTCTTTTAACCCTTTCAGTACATCATTATATACGTCATATCATTTTCTTTTTATTTTAGATATTAACGACTGCATAGGCAACCCATGCAGAAATGGGGGAACCTGCGTTGACAGAGTGAACTCATTTCAGTGCGTTTGTCCTGATGGATGGGAGGGCCAGCTCTGTGACCACAGTGAGTGATTTCCTGCTAGCGTTTGCGTCCTTCTTAAACACAATCACGGCCCGTTTAAAGAATCTGCCGCCACTGCGTTGCTTTGTACCAAACACGCCACAGTTTATGCAAAAGTGAATGAAACACTTGAATCATAGAAACCTTCCTCCTTCCTCAGATGTCAACGAGTGCAGGCACAATCCTTGTAAGAATGGTGGACAGTGCATCGACCTGGTAAATGACTTCTACTGCAACTGCACCGATAACTGGAAGGGCAAGACCTGCCATTCCCGTGAGTTATCTGCCTATGTGTTAATGGGTGTGTTTATGTTCACAGCTCCAAGTAGTTCCACCTCCACCTTTTGTATATTTTTACAGCTGTAAAACTGTAAACTGATGTCTACATTTATATCATTATTGGATGACACAAATGATTAATTAATTAATTTCCTCTTGCCAGGTGAGCGCCAGTGTGATGAAACCACCTGCAGTAATGGAGGAACCTGCAATGACCACGGGGATACCTTCCGCTGTGCATGCCCACCTGGTTGGGGAGGAAAGACGTGCAACACAGGTGAGGCAGAAACACAATACTTTAAGGTGTAAGGAAGCTAATGGCTTCGTTTTACGGGAGATTTTGTCAGAAATCCAAAAACTTTAAAATGTTTACTGAATGCTTTTCGCTCTGCTTTGCCTTCACTACACAGAAGACGCATGGACCAATCATTACGGCTGCATTTGTAGTTGCCGGGAGCTCTTAATGCTTTTCATAACTATGAAATGGGCTGTTTCCGTCACTGGCTTAAATTGTCATTAATGGACACAATGCCAGGCCTAACCTTAATCCTCTGAACAAGCTGAGAAATGTGTGTGGGTGAGGCTAAGCCAGAGTAATGCTTATGATGAATTCAAGGATGAAAAAGTTTGGCTGTTAATCAGCCCTGATTTTAAACCAACTGCAGTTCCTTATAGGGGAATAAGTAAATGTCAGACAGTTAATCATGTTAATAAGAAACTGTCACAAATTGACAGGAAACATCCACTTGTAAGATGTATTCAGAGTTTATCAGAAACTTTTCTGATGCTTTATATTACTGACATTATTGTATTTTAAAACTAAGTGTAGGAGACGGATCATGATCGTCTTTCACTCATAAACCTTATGGTGGGCAAACTTGGAGTAATAGACGGGATGTCTGTTGGCCCTTCCTTAAAGAAATGTCATGCAGTCTTATACCCCCTTCACTTCTTGAAAAGAACTGAGAAACAACCAGCTGTGTTAGTCTCGATTGGTTAGATTCAGAGCAAAACAGGCTACAGTGATTGCTGTAAATTTGCAAGACTTGGCGTGTCTTTTAATAACCACATAACTCTTAGAACAGCCACCTCTGACCGGCTTCCATTGTTGGTGTCGCATTTCAGCAGTTTAATCCGGTCTGATCGGTGAGCCAACTTTAGGTTGACGAGAAAGTTGGCAAATGTTTTAATCGTTTAATGTTTTGGATTCTGGTGACGGTCCTGCTTTTCTAGGTTACTTTTGAGTTCATATAGAAACGGTAAACATGACAAACACAATGGCATCAGCAGTTTAGCATTTTAAAAAAAAGTGGGACATGAAAATTCATAACAAGTGAGCAAAGTACCCATTTTTCTGCAGAATAGAACCCATTATAAATATCTGAATAGCACTCATGAGAGACCAAACGGTTGACCTTACATGATAACCTGAGGGCAGAAGCTACACCGCCATATGGAGTGGATGATTCAGACAATCCAATATGGTATTAGCCTTCCAAGGAGGACCTCCCTGAGAGCTTACTTTTAGCTAATTTAAAGGCTGGCTGGAATTAGTGGGACAAGCATGTCCCAAATTACCAACGCCTTTCACAAACACTCAGGTAACAAGTAATTATTCAAGCCTGTTGCTAAAAAAAATAGTAAAATGATGATAAATACAGGCTGGTAGAACATAAAATAGCTGTCTATAGGGACTGTACGGTAAGTTTATAATGTGTAGGAAACCTGTAACCTTATTCCCGGTAGTTTAGTATCACCCACTTGCTCCACTGCTTGGAATCATATACCTGTGTATGTGTTGCTCTTTTGGGTTTTGACAGTCTAGGGCACCTCGTGACTCACTCTCTCTTTCCATAGCTAAGAACAGCACATGCGCCTCCAGTCCTTGCTCTAATGGAGGGACTTGTGTGGGAGGAGGCGATACCTTCACCTGCATCTGTAAAGAGGGCTGGGAAGGCCCCACCTGTGGACAAAGTTAGTTTTACTGTATAACTTCAAATATAACTGACAGTAAAATCACCATAATTCTGTGTTGGGTGTACTGTTTTTGAAGTAGAGGTGAAATCTGTTGCAATGGGACATTGCAGTTTTATTATAAAGTTTGCAAGTAACAAAAGCTTGAAACCCATGATCTTATTAGGCTGGGATTATTGCTGCATTACATGCATATAAATAATAGACTTCGGTCAATTCAGATGTGGGGGCCAGCATGCCACACGTATGCAACAAAGATGATATATTACTTTTTCTTTTCTTCTACAGATACAAACGACTGCGACCCTCATCCATGGTATGTAACATTTTTCTTTCCTTGCACACTTCCCCGGCTCCTTCATCTCCACGCTTTACTCAGACCTTACAGGCTAAAGGGGTGAAGGGCCACTAAAGCAGTGGAAGTTGTCCTTAAATCAGGCCACAAAGGGGCATCTCGCAGAGGAGGGGGCTCAAATATTGAATAGGACAGTGAGAAGTGGGAGTTTTGTGGGGAGGACAAGAGTCCCACCTACCCTGTGGTGAATGCAGGTGGGGGGTAGAATGGCAGAGAGGGGGTGTACGTGTCCATTCTTTCCGTGCGACCTGGGGGGAAGCTTGGCTTTGAGGAGGAATGGAAGAAGGCCTGATGAGAGGAGGGGAGGGGAGGGACTGGACACACCTATTAGCATTTGAAAGGTGGAGGCTTGTATTGATGGGTTGAACTGAGTCTTGTGACACCCCCCACCCCCCCACAAAGGCATACAATCGATGTACTTTGTTGTAGCTGGAAGGATGTACGGTTTCATCTAACTGTCAGTTTCTTTGCTCCCTCAGTTACAATGGTGGGATCTGCGTGGACGGAGTCAACTGGTTCCGGTGCGAGTGCGCCCCCGGTTTCGCCGGACCTGACTGCAGAATCAGTGAGTGATGACATGAGGTTATGATGAACAGATTTTGGATGTGATGGCTAAAACCAACCGCAATGATATTCTTGATGAGAACATGATTAAGAGGATTGCTACATGGAACAAGGGGTGGAAAAAAAGTATAGGGCGTGGAAAAAGATGGCTGTATTGACACCTAAATGTGAGACCGAGACAGACCCCTCTCACTTTCTCTTAGTCCTTTAACGCCTTGGGGGGTCAAAGGTCATCCCTCCTCCGTACTCACACAGTCACATATTCACACATTGAAGACAAATAACCCAGTGACCCCGAAATTCTTCTTTTCTGCTCCTTTGTTTTGGACGGATAGCCTTCACCTTTTTTCTGGGGCTTAAATTTGAAAATTCTCATTCAGACATGTTCATGTGAAATCTGGGTGACAATGGCCTGGAGGTTCCCACTGACACGGGAGGCGAGGCTTTGTGATTTTTATTTTGCACTTTTTGGAAGTTATTAGTTTTGACTGGCTGTTTTCGGGGTGGGGGGGGGGCGGTTTTTGTTTGTTGGTTTTTTTCCCTAAAGCATCAAATGCAATAGATGGATGGATAGATAGATAGATATGATTGTGAGCGGTGGAAAATGTGACTGTTATAGTTATTTTCTATCTTTCTGAATTAACTTTGTCTGTAGAACAACATTTATTTAACAATGCACAGCCAATGGTGACTGGTTGCAAAAAAAGGCATAAGAAGGCCACGTCTTGTTTTAAGATGTCAACTTTTTTCCAGTAGCTCAAAGTACTTAAAACATCAACTTTCAGGGAGCTTGGAAGACTCGTAGACCTAACTAATGGTTTAACATTTTGTCTTAAATTTTGGTGTTTTTCCTCTTTGTTTAGACATAAACGAGTGCCAGTCTTCACCCTGTGCCTATGGAGCCACCTGTGTGGATGAGATCAATAGTTTCCGATGCATCTGTCCTCGTGGAAGAAGAGGAGCCAGATGCCAAGAGTGTAAGCACGCTCAAATTTAAGTGATTTCAGGATGAAATCACCTCCTTTAGATTTACATTATTGGCTAAAGCCATGGAGTATCTTAAAAACAAAAAGTGTTGCAGTGGCACAGTGGTTTAAGCGGAGGGCTTTCACTGTCTGGTTATGACATCCAATTACGAATGTTGTTATCTACTGCAAGGGGCTTAGACCAGAGAGGAGAGCTGCAGGCAGACAGCTGGAGATTTTAAAACTGTTCCATAAGTGCATCATGGTTCTTTCTTCCTATCTATAGTCATAGGCATTGGGAAAACTTGCCACTATACTGGGCTGCAGTTTCCACATGGCAGCCACTGGGAGGAGGAGTGCAACAGTTGCCATTGCCTCGATGGCAAGGTGGATTGTACAAAGGTAAGAGATTTAATTACCATCAAAACGGCGTTCTGATTAAGAGCTCATCGTGTTTATCTTATTCCTGGACCCTAAAGTTAAATAACCGCCTATGATTAGAGTTTAGCCTTCAAGGTACTCTTCTTTCGCACCTTTGAACAGATTCCAGGACTTGTGCTATTTTTAGATGGCTTGATTGGTGTCCTGTTATTAGCTTTTCCATTCTGTGTCTTTGAGTTCACAATGGATATTAAATTCAAGTGTGTCCAGAATAAGAATATTTCCAGAAGCATGAATGAAAATGCTTTCATATGAAGTCACACTCCCACATCATATTTTAACACGGTGACAAGTGACGCAAGAAAGAAATGGCAATGCGAATGTTGTCTTACGTCTAAGTGAATATTTTGACCTTGTGACACCAGGTGCTATGTGGTCGCCGTCCATGCCAGCTCGAAGCATCGGGCCGTGACCAGTCCTGTCCAGCTGGACAAGAATGTCTGGAGCATAGCTACTTCACCTGCTTCTCCCCCCCTTGTCATCAGTGGGGGGTTTGTTCAATGGTTGGACCTCCACCTCCACATGTAACCACCAAGTGCCAGCCAAACAGCGGCCATTTGGACAACAGCTGCGGCCGCATAACACTCGTTTTCAACAGAGACAAAGTACCGCCGGTGAGTAATCAGCCACATATCGCTTTGAACCGTTTAAACTACTTTTTGTGTTGCTTCTGATTGATGCGTTTTGGGTTTTTGTGTATATCTACAGGGAACAACAGTGGAGAATATCTGTTTTGAGCTGAGGTATCTTCCTGATACTAGACACTTGGCAAGAGATCACGCTCTTCTCCTTCTCTGTGATCTCTCTCATTCAAATCAGGATGCTGTAGAGGTGGCTATAGTAAGTAAAATTGAATTAGAGTGGTGATTATTCCATTGCCTTCTAAAACAACCTTATTCTAGCTCATGTTGGAGATTTTAACAAGCTTGATTGACACAGATTTATGGGTGGGGGCATAAAATGCACAAACAGCCATTGCCTACCATACAACCCAAGTGGCACACTCAATAAGATGTTTGGTTGGGACTTCATGGTGTCTTATCTCTTCCTTTCTTTTTGATTTGGTTCTCAGTCTTTCCATCCAGAGGATTTACCTGACCACAGTCTGATCCAGGAGACAGCCAGTGCCATTGTGGGCACCTTGTCCAAGCGGCACAATAGCACCATAATGCTGGCAGTCATTGAGGTCAAAGTGGAAACCCAGGTCATGCGTCCATCAGTGGGTAAGGAATGATTAACGCAAATGTTCCACAATGGTTTCATAGGGCCAGCCATTTTTAGTTATTGCTGACGTCGCACTCCTACTGACTTGACTTTTTCTATAATTTCCTTCCATGTTGATGTCAACAGATTACCTGGTGCCTCTACTATGTGTCGCCTTTTGCTTGCTCTGCCTCTTCTGCATCATTGTATGTGTTTGGTGGACACGCAAACGGAGAAAAGAGCGCGAGAGGACCTCCCGATCAGCCGCTGACGACAGCGTCAACAACCAGTGGGAGCCACTGCGGATCGTTGTGCGACGTCAGCAGGAGCAGCAGCAGCTGAAAGAAAGCAACAGGGAGGCTGAGCAGGAGCGCAAAAAGCTCATGGGCCCCTCCTGTCGGACGTATGATGAGGAGGAGGAGGAGACGGAAGGCGAGCTTGAGCTCGAGGAGGAGTGCGGTGGAGCAGAGGCGGGAAAGCAGCTAGTTTATAAGTACTCTAAGACTGCAGTGCGGCCCAGTGGAGGAGTGATCTGCACCATGCACAGCTCCAGTTCACCCCTCAAAGCCCCCCACCGGACCCCAGGCTACAGTCCCAAAGACAACCGCTGGAAAAATGTCAGTGCGGTCCTGACTGGTCAGAAAGACCTCAGAGACTATTGTGTATGAGAGATATATATAAACAAATGAGTTGCAGTGTGGAAGCAAGAGAAGCTGCAAGGCAGTGACTATTTTTAGTTTGGACTATTTTTGGACAGAAAGGAAAAAATGCTTTTTGTTTATATAAGCCATTGTTTGCTTCATTTTCATGTTTTCGTCACTGTCACCTGAAGTGATTTTTGATTCAGGAGGGCTAGAGCACAGTGAACATCCTTTTTTCATTCTGTTACCTTATTTTCCTTTACATGTACACAGAAGGAGCTGAGATGTAATGATATTTCAGGAGGCAAAAGAAGCTCCTTGCAATTTATGTTTATGGACTTGTTGGTAAATGGTGAGTCACTGATATGGATTGAGGGAAAAAAAGCAGGCTGTATAATTTTATTTTTGTTTGTTTTGTTTACAGATGATTATGATTTTGTTAAACTATCAGTGGGTTCCTGTTCAGTGTCTGTTGGGGAGATACACATTAAAGGGAGAGAAAGGGAAGGGTTTTATAGAGACATGGACTGTTGTTGCATTCACAGTAACAGGAGAAACTCTCCCTTTGCTCTAGTTTCCTTCCAGCTTTGCCCACCTGTGGCCGTCACACGCCAGCCTTACCAAAAACACTTGGCCTGGAGGGGAAGAGGGGGCAGAAACCCCAGTGCCTACTATGTGGCCTTCCTTGTTTTTGTTTGTTTGTTTTCCTTTTCTCCTGTCTCGTTTTCTTGGCTGAAAGCTCTGTTTGACGATTTTTTGCAGTATTTGAGTTGGTAGCAAGTGCCTTTCTAAGAGCTGCGTTCAGGCTCCAAGTTGCGCTGCCCAGTTTGACCTCCTTGTTCTCAAATCTCAAAGGGATATGTGTACATGTAGACTTCAATTTCACAGCAACGCCATTCAAGGTATTTGATCAAAGCAGAAATGAATACTCTGTACATACATGTAAATACTAAAGGAGTCGCTGTGTATATTTGAAATAAGTAACTTAAAAGACAAGTCACACATTTTTATTATTATTATTATTATGATTAATATTATTTTTATTTTTTTTACAACGCCATTCCTTTTATTTAATGCCAGTCCAAATAGGCAGGTTTTATAACACTTAATACTCAGAGTCCCGCAGTTAAGAGTTAGGAACATTTACAATGAGGTACCACCTATGAAGGAATTTATGAAGGGTTTATAAATGGTTTGTCTTTTTTTTTTTTTGGGGGGAGGGGGGTTATTATGTGTGTATTATGTGAAATATGAAAGAAAGAAAAAGTGATGTTTTTTTTGTTTTTGACCTTTACATTATGTGATAGAATAACTTTCACAGATGTTATTTTGGCTTTTTTTCAGTCTAGCATGCAGTCTCAATATTAGCTTCCCTTTGTGTTTTGTTTGTTGTTGTTGTTTAGGGCGGGGATGTATAGACAATTGGCAAAGTTAGAAGTAGGAAGCATAACCTGGATGTTTTATTTTGTAGGAAAATGTACTATAAATGCTTTAATTTTGCTCTTAACTGTTGTTAGCTCTAAGATTTACTTGCTATTTATTTGTAAAATCATATTGCTATTATGGTCAAACCGCTCTTTTGCTTTCTTTTTCATTGTTTTTTCTTTTTTCTTTTTTGTCTTTCTTTTCTTTTTCTTTTTTTAAAGCTGCCAATACTATAGCCTTAACAAGTTTCCAAACCATTTATAAACCCATCACAAACCCTTTTATTTCAGGTGCCTTAATGTAACAATGTATTGTTTGTGTTATCAGTGGTCGTGTTATGTTGTTGGGGTTTTTTTTTTTTTTCCTTTTTTTGTTGTTGTTGTTCCACTATTAAGGCAGGTAAGACATCTTGTGGTGTACTGTGGTGTGCTTTATTCACTTGAGTAAAGTGCACTGCTGTCACTTTACTGTCACGGAGATTTCTAAAATAAAACACAGATGGATGGTTTAAAAACAAAAGAAAAACCAGTCCACTCTTGGCAGTTTAGAGTGTTCTGAATGTGGATGTTGGGTCAAATGTGGACATCTTGCATTAGCATTAGCTTGGTTTAAAGGCTTTAATGAAGGGAACAATGTTTGCAGATGCAGATTTTTCTTTGCCATCATGCAAATGTGTTTTAAGTTACCAACTCTGTTTAAACAGTTTTACCCCTTTTCATATCATGTCATTGTCTCAAAACGCCATTGTATTTCTGTAAATGGGACACAGCAAAATAAACAATTAAAGCTGCATCACTGCTGGTGTTAAAAGCTGAATATGCATATTGTATACATTTTATTGTACAAGGGACATGCGTTAATTTTGTACAAAGCAAAAAGGGTGTTTCATTGTTTTAAATAATCATCCTACCTATTTATTAAAGCAGTTTTGACACACCATGATTACGCTTGTAATATTTGGTTTACAGTGCAAAAATCATCCCAAAACAGCCAGTGTAAATTGAGCAGCAACATTTAACGATTACACACATTCTGATTTGTCAATGTATTTTATTTTTTTAAATTAAATCTTGCCTTATACTACAGTCAGTCTAGAGAAAATGCTGATTGGAGATAGTGGGACACCCAAGATGTATGTCATTCTACAATGAACCTCTGAAATCGTTGCCCTTGAAATGGTTGTTTCAAAGACAGGGACCAGATAAGCAAGCACGTGCAATCAATGGCTGTCCTCAAAACAAAAGGTCAATCAAGGTGGCAATAACATAGGAATATGATGGAGTCATCGGTATACACAGAAATTCACGTTAACTAGTTCCATCCAGATAGGATGTCAGATTTAAAATAGAAACTTAAAAGTGGGAATACAAACCAACTGAGCCTTGTGATTGAAAGTGGTTGCCCAGAGGCAATTATTGAATAGTTGAGTAGTAATTCTTTTGGGAGCAGTTCACCCTGTGATTTTACAATATTTGTCCACAGGGATAAAGACGAAAGCACAAAGTGGGCAAAATAAGCTGCTCACTAAATTTACTTCTGCTCAATAACTGTGCATGTATTTGTATTTGTAATGACACAATACAACCTGTAACTGCTAGCATTTACCCCAGAACTGCCATCTTCTGAATTTCTGCAGCACTTGCCCTTGCCCTCATCTGTGTGGTCTGTGAAGGACCTGGATCGATTGATCCAATAACCTCGCCAGCCTCCCCACCGTCCTGTCATCACTCATGCTCGCACCACACCAATAGAATCTTGTCTCCTGCTCTGGGCCGATCTCTTCTCTGCCAATGGGAGACTGGCGTGATCGTCCAGGCCACATAAGGATGTGAATGTTTCATGAGTAATGTTATGGTGTGTGGTGTGGGTGGGACAACTTTTTTCCTCCTCGTTCCCATGGGTAGCCCCAGCTGGTGCTAATGGGACCTTCCTTTGTCGGAAAAGCCAGATCAGCTTACAGTTTCGTAGGAGTGATGGTGTTATAGCGGGAGAAGGGAAGTCAGCTGATTATGTTTATGGATATATTAATATATAGATGACTGTATCATTTTAGGAAGGGTTTGGCTGGTCTTAGGATAATTACATCCTGTAAAAGAGATCTGGTGGACATGAGTAACCGATATCAGAATGTGGTGTTTAATTTCTGCAGAAATACTGTCTGCAGTTCTTGCTGCTTTTAGTAGTATGACTCAGCATTTATTGCTTTGTGCTCTAAACAAACAATTTGTTTGAGCATGGCCATGCTCCTCCTGCTCTGTATGAGGTCCTTTAAGGGGGGCTATCATGCTTTCTATCTCCATATTTTTACCCTTGGACTCTAGTGGAGTATCTCTGGATAATTCACAGTTCAAAATAATCCATATTTAATTTAAACAGTTAGGGCTTGGTACAGTTTATTCTCTGTATGAAATAAGTTGTTTTCTCTGGTCACGTGTAACATATGCATGCACCATCAAGCTAGATCACACTTTATTAAGTACACCTTGCATGAATCTAGGCTTGGACCACAGTATGGTTTGAGCAATGTCTTTATACGTGATGGCATGAAGGTGCTGAAAACATTCCTTAGAGATTTTGGCTCATATTAACATGATAGCATCACACAGTTTCTGCGTATTTGTCAGCTGCACATTCATGATGTGAATCTCTCGTTCCACTACACCCCAAAGATGCTCTATTACATTGAGATCTGGTGGCTGTGGAAGCCTTCACCAATCTGAAAGTGACTGCAGTTCGACTACAATGAACCTAAACTGGTTCAAGAAACCAGTTTAGGTTCAAGAAGGAGCCATCAGAAGATGGGTAGACTGTGATCCCAAATTAAAGGACGTGGTCAGCAATATTACCAAGATAGGCTGTAACATTAAATAATGCTCAATATCCTCCAGTGCATTAAACCACCTCCACAACCAAGCTGAACTGTTGATAAAAGGCAGGATAGATCCATGCTCACATGCTATTTATGCCAATTTCTGACCATACCATCCGAGTGTCACTGTCAATGTCATTATGGTGAGCCCATGTGAATTTTGGCCTTAGTTTCCTATTCTTAGCTGATGTGAGTGACAACTAGTGTGGTTCTTTGCTACTGTAGCCAATCCGCTTCAAGGTTGGCTGTGTTGTGCTTTTCTGCATGTGTTTGTATGTATGTCTCAACAAGGCATTTTCTCCCAGAGAACTGTCTCTCAGTGGATATGTTCTCTTTTTGGAACAAATTAGAGATGGTTTTGTGGGAAAATCTTTGCAGTTTCTGAAATACTCAGATCAGCCCTTCTGGTGAAAACAGCTACGCCATGTTCAAAGTCATCTTTCTTCTCCATTCTGCCCTGTGTATATATGACAGAAAACACAATTTGGTTTAGAAGAACTTGACTAGCCTTCTCAGAGGCCTAACCAAGACCCCATCCAAAAGCTGGGAAGCTGTCATTGAGCTAAAGATTTATTCATTCTCTTCGTCTTTGGGCGGTGATGGAGAACAAATCCGTGCAACTAGGTTCCAATATCTTGTGGAAAATCCGAAGCTTAAAGAGTGGAGGTTATTATTAAAGCATGCATATGTTGTGTAGCTCTTACTGTTACGCTTTTTTCACGTGTTATATTGACGGAATCTTGGATTGACTCGATCTTCTGTACTTACATCGTTTTCAAAGCCATAAGAGTCCCAGCTAAGAACTGTGAGATCAATGATGGCATCACACATGCTGTAAAAAATTTAGCCATGTGTCACTCTACTTACATGCACTTACTTGTAGCTTTGTTCTAGCTGGGAAAAGGTTAGGTTAACAGGAAACTAATTATTTTAATCTAGTCTGATTAAGTCTGTTATGTATATAGTCCAGCATTCTGAATCACAAATTTGCCATTAGAGAGCTTTTACAATATGCTCTGTAAAACGTTATTTGCTTGACCTACATTTAGTCTGTTTCTGCTTTTAATGCCAACATCAAATTTTTAAGTCTAATCTGGAAGCATACCAATATTTATTTATTGCTGTTGCTTGGTACAAGGAAGTAGGAGTGTGATGCCAAGTTGCTTTTGCGACTGTCGGCATCAATTCCCCCCACATACCCCAGACTGCATCAGGAAACTGACACCAGATTCCAAAAGTGTCTCTCCACAACAGCCAAGGACATTTCAGTGCTGCATTTGTAAACACGTAGTACTACTACAGACAGCTCAAAATGGCTGAAAGGATTCACAAGGGACATAAACAGCTAAATATTAAAGGTCACGACTGCTTTGCTTCATTAATTTAGAGGAGGTTGTACACTCTTTTATAGACACATACTCCCTCTGCACACACAGGCAGACTGACTAAGTCTGAGATGGTATTTTTTTCTGTTTGCTCTGCTCGCTGTAGCTGCTCTGTACATCTGTTGATGTGGGTCTTTGGGACCATCTGACTGTAGAGGCAGCTGGGTGACAGGATTTAAGGCTAAGCCCCTCGTCCCTTTAAACACACATACACACATAAGGTCTGCTCACACGTACACACGCTGAACGTGGCCCTTATTGGACATCAAGCTGGCACGTGCTGGTGGACAGCGGGGTTGCAGCTGGCACTGTGGGTTGTTTAAGGCAGGGAAACAAGCAACAGTGGACTGACTGAGTCTGTGTATGTGTGCTGGGGGAGTGGTGTGTTTACTGGCACTGCAGGTCTCTTTTGGCACTGCAGAAACCCCGACACGTACCCTCTGCACCAGAAGGCGGGGAGGGCACAGTCTTGGCAGAGAGGAGGAGATGGCTGGGGCTGCAGGAGTGCAACAGAGATCCATAGCAGCTTTTCTGGGACAGCTGTTCGATGTGTGTGTGTGTGTGTGTATGAATGCCATGAATCTAAATAAACGAAGATTAAGATGAAAATTAAATGATTTGTGGCTAAACCTAGCATTTACACTGAGACAAATAGATAATGCAACACAGACACAGGTTTAATCACTGAAATTTAAACTGATTCTTAATTATAACTATTTCTAATATTGATCAGTCTGATGATCATTATTTCAAATTCATTAAATATATAAAAATTTCACATTAAAGGTAACAGGATTTTATGGAGTAATTTGTTTTTGTTTTGTTTTTAAGCAGTGATAATAAAAAAAATCTCAATTTTGATTGATTAAAATTCTATTTATTGACTAATAGTTTTTTAGCTCTAAACAAAACTGAGAGATAGATTAGCTACCTAGCCTCAAAAACAATGTTACTTGTCCTCTGGGGATTGTGTGTGTACATAGATATTTACATGTAAATCATTCTTCTTCACAACCATGGAAGCAATTCAAAACAAACATGCTGGATTTTGCAGGGTCAAAGGAAAGGTCAAGAGGCCAAAAGAGGATAAACAAACTGTGAATTTTAATCTACTTCCCTACCACAGTCGGCAGCCACTCTTGTACATGCATGCTCATAAATTGATACCTCTGGTTTAAACGTGTTCTTTAGCAACTGGTGGTGAAAAACAAAGTGCATACATTACACACGCATTTATACGAAGATGAAGATGGAAACACTTATGGTCAGGGCTGTGCTTTTTTGAGATTTTGCAATATTTGCCTCCACATATTCCATGCATGTCTGTTTGTACATGCTCAAATGACAGTGTGCAGTGTAACCTTACACTCTGCGCAGTGATACGCAAGGTCAATTTGCCCCTCTCCCAGCCCAAGAGACACCAGGGAGTGTAAAACACCCTCAGGAGCTACTCATAAGCAAATTGCAATAATGTAAAGTGCAGCGAAACTCAAAGGTAACTGGCAATACACACAGTGAAGCACTATAGTGATGTTT